TCCGTCCAATTTATATCACCTATATTTTTGCCTTTCATGTATATATATGTCTGCACAATTTAAGGAATATCTATCAATAAATAAATTATTAGTTTGCCTAAATTGCTTCAAAAATGGTTTGAAAAATGATATTAGTAAATAATTTATCGGAGATGCTTTGCTTACCTGTACTTTTGTTTTTTTAGTCACTTGATGAAATCTGCTGTCAAAGTTTTCCAAGTTTCAAATAAGAATTTTTGTCAACAAATTAAATATTTTATCCACCAAATGTCTTATTATTCTCCCTGAATTTTACAATAAAGTTTCATTGTATATTTTTTTTAAAAAAAGACTCAAGGACCCAAAGCAACTTTAAAGACGACCAAATCTCGTATAACTCGACCTTGAAAAAATGTATGGAACGTAGAATACCACGATTAGTGTTTTTGGTACTTTGGAAATATAACAAATATTGAATTGTTGAGAGAAGGATGCAAAAACTGATTCACAATCACATGTTCAGAATTGTTGAGAGAAGGATGGTGGTGGTGAGTTCCACATGTGCCTTTTTTACTTGAATATATTTTTATATTTTTTTGGTTTCAACATAATGCCATTAGTCAAAGATGAGTTACAATGTTTGGCATATCTGCCTCCCAAAATTGTTTTAACCAAGAGGTTGCAAATGGTGTACATCCAAAGGTCAAAACAATCCAATCGAGGAGAATCTTATTGCAGCCATGTTGCTTGAGCATGAGTAGAATTGTGTTTCGACCATTTGGTAAGCTCGGCTCAAGGCTTCACTGTCTTGGCAAAAGGGTTGGAGCGCAGGTCAAGCTTGAGGGCACACACAAGGCTTGTACAACATTACCTATACAACATCATTCACGAATGTCTCGAATATACCCTCAATGTACTCCCAAAGTTTTGGAACACAGCATTGCTCATTGAAGAGCTTCAAATCCTGTTTCCAAAGCAGAGTGATGAGCCCTAATCCATCTCTTGGAATCCAGCCTAAGGCATTAGAGTCCCTATCACATGCCCAAGAACCATCTACATTGCATTTCGAAACAGTGGAAGAAGGGGAGATCATTTGCGCATATCCTCTAATGCTAAAGCCACTGTTGCTTGAGCTGGGATCACATTTCTCGACTTCCACATACGCAATTGATCCAAGAGAAAATGTAGCTTCAGTAAGTGTGGAAAAAAGAGAAGGGCCAACACTTATCTGATAATCTTCTTTCTTACAGTCGTCAGTTCGAGAAAGTATAGCTTCAGTTCGCGTGGAAATTAACCAGATTTTTCCATCCTCTCATGGAAAGAGCAAGTTTGAACTTGAGCTATGCGACACACAAAATTAAGAAGTAACCAATTGAACTAACTAGTAAATGCAAAACTCAGAGGTAGTAAAAAGCTCCATCTAGGAATATGGACCTGGAATCGTTGTCCTATAAATAATTTTCCTACACTTGACACTATATATATCCAAAGTCTGATTTGGTTCGTTCCTCAACAATGTCCATCATTTTGTTAATGACAAAAGCATTCAAGAAATTATTCGTAAGTAGGTACTAACTAAATGGGACATACACAAATTGTTGACACACACAAGATGGCATATAACAATCGGGACGTACTTGCACAATCATAAAAGCCAGGCCAAATGTGAGAAATCTCTAGAAGAGATGGTTCGATTAAGCAAAAACACTGACAAGAGTACTATTCGCAAACAACATAACAAAAAAAAAAGAGATTTGACTTGAAGTAAAAAAAATCTCGATTCATAAGAACCTCGATCAAAGCCAAAGCCTATTCTTCAACGCTTTCGCTGCTCTTGATGTTGTGCTTCCTTGCGTACCTCTGGTTCCTCAGAAACTTAGGATCCATCTTCAACCCAAAACAAATACCAAATCAAACACCGAATTCTAATACTTTCCCCAAATCAAACATCGAATTCTAAAAAGTTTCAGAAATCAAATCAGATGTAAGTAGACTCACTCCTTTGGTCGAAGTGTGACGATGTCTCCTCGGCTTCTTGATTCCGTTCTTATGCGCCTTCGCCGACTGGTTATGCGCCGTGTGGTTCTTCGACTTCGCCATCGCCGGAGATTAGACTTTGTGTTGAAACGAGAGAGGTGGTTTTACTCAGGAGTAAGTAAACCCTAGATCCTGAATTTATATACACTTAAATACAAATGACCAGAATGCCCCGAATCAATCGTTGATATGGGCTTAAGAGGCCTGGCCCATATTGTGTTTTTAGGTTTGGACCTGTCTCTTATGGAGGAGATGATGACACTGCAACAGAGAGCTGGAGAAAAAGAGGAAAGATCGCCATTAATAGAACTCTCCCGTTACTTTCAGATCTACAGTAATAAGCTCTTTTGTTCGTTTTGGGGAATCATTACTTTGTTGTTCATCAGATCTGTGTTGATCTGATTTCAGTAGGATGTTTTTCTTCGATTGGTTCTACGGGATTCTCGCATCGCTTGGTCTATGGCAGAAGGAAGCTAAGATTCTCTTTCTCGGTCTCGATAATGCCGGAAAGACCACTCTCCTTCACATGCTCAAAGACGAGGTATAATCTCCCTCGCTTTCTCTTTTCTTACTTTAGATTCGTTTCTTCTCTTTTGGGATTTGTTTTGATCTGAACTCTCGTGTGCGATCATCGCAGAGGTTGGTGCAGCACCAGCCTACGCAGCATCCGACGTCTGAGGAATTGAGCATTGGGAAAATCAAATTCAAGGCCTTTGATTTGGGCGGTCACCAGATCGCTCGACGTGTGTGGAAGGATTATTATGCTAAGGTAAAAATAACGTTTTGTTTCAATCCAATGATGGATCAAATAGGATTTAGTGATGATTGCCTCAAAGCCAGCTTTATTTCTTGCTGCCTTGAAAAGTCGATGTGTTGTAGAATATTTGACTAATCGTAGAAGACGATGTGTGATTGTTGAGTTTCTAAATAAACACTTTGTGAAGCTGTCAGTGAGTAGTAATGTGCAATATGACAAGTTTCATCGTATCTGTATGGTTTTAGTTATTGTTTTGTGTATGTTGTTCCTCTGAGCATCCTGAGAATGTGAGATGTATCATCTTGTAAAAATGACCCATGTGATAATGATACTGTCAGTTCTACTTTTACCTCGCCTCTAAGTAGTCTACTTTGGCACATTTGTATCCCACATAGAAAAATATGGGAATCCTTATGATTTGCTTGTGCTCTGTATAGTATTAATATCTTCCTCCCAAAACTGGTAGTGAGTTCATACATGTCCTGAGCCCATACGTTACTAATTCTATAGATAAATAATATGAATGGCCCATGTGGGTGCTTTTGGTGATGTCTGTTTTTCTTCTGCTCTATAATTGTGCAGATCTCTAAAAAATTTTGTCTTCCTGTCACAATGATTAGACTGCTGAAGTATTTGATACCTGCATAATTTGTTGGTGGGTTAGTTTATCTGTTGTAAAAGATGTTGATTTGTGTTATAAGATTGCAAGAAAGAATTGGATGTATGAAGATTCAGTGATATGACACATATTACGTTAGAACATCACTGTGCTTGTTTGTGAAAAATGTGTAGAAACTCGGTAATGCGGCACAGAAGCGTATTTGAAAATGGTACATGTGCAGGTTGATGCAGTGGTTTACTTGGTGGATGCCTATGACAAAGAACGGTTTGCTGAATCGAAGAGGGAGCTTGATGCTCTTCTCTCGGACGAAGCACTAGGGACTGTACCATTCCTCATACTGGGGAACAAGATCGATATCCCATATGCAGCATCAGAAGACGAGCTGAGGTTTCACTTAGGGCTGAGCAACTTCACGACAGGGAAGGGTAAAGTTGTGCTGACGGACTCTGGTGTGCGTCCTCTAGAAGTTTTCATGTGTAGCATTGTGAGAAAGATGGGTTATGGTGAAGGTTTCAAGTGGCTCTCTCAGTACATCAAATAAATTGGAAATGATTTTCATTGTTGTGAAAGAATGGAGAGGACACAGAAAAGAGACTTTTGACTTTCTCTAGTGTCAGTAACTTCAATGGAGCCACACTCTGTTTTTGTCTTGTCTGGATCTGGACGATTTGTTGATTTTATGATTCGTCTTGATTCTTAACTTTTCCTATTCTATTTTGTGATTTTTTTTTTTGTATTCCCTCAAACCGGATAAGTCATAGCGTACCAGATTGGGTAAACCGATTTTCTTACACGCAGATCCTGGCTCTGTGTGAAACGAATCAATGAACCATTATCAGACTGGTTATTACATACATGATTCCCTGTAAAGTAATCATAAATAAAATTCGCAAAAAAGAAATAGAATCCAGATAAACACTAACTACATAAAACGTAGAAACAAGAGTTGCAACTTGCAACAACAAAAAATGTAGAAAGAAGAAAAGAACGAAGTGTTTCTAGATTGAATTGAAAAGCCGTCATACAGAGAAATTGGAAAGTGAAGGGAGTTAGGGAAGATAAGAGAAAAAGAGTTTGGGATTTGTGTGATTCGGTGGCGATGCTATCAGCACTCTATCTAATCCAATCACCCATAACTCCTGCGCGGGTCCAACACATTCATACCTAAAAAACCTCATAAAATTTGAAATGTTTATCTAAAATTCTTTATACTAGATTTATACCTCGCGTAAGATTTTATTTTAAACTGTTGAAAATAAGAGTCATTTTTTTTTAAAGTAAATTTAAATATATAGATTTTAGTAAGTGATATACGACATAAATACTATCATGATAGTTTTTTTATTTTTTTAAACAACGAATCGCTAAGTGCCACATGGTAAAAAAAAAACACCATGAACCATACAGGAAGAAGAAACGGCTTCGGTGACCATCTCACGTTCCACTATCTCAGAGAGCGTTTTTTCATATTCAAGTCTCATGAGAACATCTCCCAACAAATTTTGTTGTTGACCATTGATTATATCTCATCTCACTTACCACGCTTATATTGCTAAACGAATTAACTCGACCGTAAATCTGATAATCCAATCCCATAATTCAGGTTATGTAATTTATGAAAACTAATTTATTTTAGACAATGAATGACATCTAAAAGATTTTCGTTAGTATTGTGCATAAATCTTTTCGAAATTTAGTTAAACTCTTTTTGAAAACTGTTTCACTAACATTTATATGGTCATCATCCAATACGCATTCATACCTTCCTACATCTACTTTTGTTTCGCCTTTTCTATATTATTATTATCAAAAAC